AGCATCATCACCATCATCACCATCATTAGCATCATCACCATCATCAGCATCATCATCACGATTATCAGCATCATCAGCATCATCACCATGATTGTTGTTGTTTTATAAAGATGCTGCATTATTTTACTCGGTGCAATATCGCAATTGCTGTAATTATTATTGTTACTCAGGGAAACTGTTGTACCATTTGAGTTTGTATGCCTTATTTGCAATACATTCTTTCACCAACATCCTCACTTTTTTAATATTTAAAATATAACTTTGTAATATACTCCACATTATGTGCTTTGTAGCCATGTTTTGTCTCAATGACCTATTTATTTAAAATTTTAATTTTTCCGCCGACACCGTATCTTGCCTATGATCTTCCACGGCGCTTTTGTCAAAGCGCTTCACGAGCAATTACAAATGGTACATTACTAATTGGCTGATGTGCAAAGGGGATGATGGATTTTCAGTGTTGGGGAGGGCAAGGAAGGGCGATGATAGGGAATGGGAGTGGCTGGCGAGGTTCACGACACGTTGTGTTTGCCAGGGAACCGACCACGCGGTTGTTGATGAAACCCGATGCCATGGCTTCTTAGCTCACAGGCTACTTCAAAATAAACTGAACCGATGAAAGAGACGCGCACGACAGAGATTGCGTTGTGCTTGACGGCTGCCACCCCCCCCCCTCCTCCAGTGCTGTGATTGGCTGCGAGTCTCTCTCACTCGGACGCAATCGAGCGGAGAGGGGACTGCCTGGGGTTGGAACGGTGGTGCAGCGGTTAGCGCACTAAACTCCGAGCCCCTAGTGATCTGCGGGTGAGTCGAACTACGCCTTGCCTGTCCGTCGCCCGTAAGATCCGCAGCTCACAGGCGTTGATTCAAGCCAGCCTGACTCTCTGCTGATGAGACAACGGGAGGTCGAAACCGGTTCAGAGTTCGCTTGATTTGAAATCGATGCTGTTTAAATGTCGCGCTCCCAGAATGCCGTGCGTCGCGTTGATGGCCGTAGCTGGACACTAAAACGAAATATTTTAACGATTTTTATTTTACCTGGCAAGGCCCCACTGAGCCATGTAGATATTTTTCAGAAGCGACCTTGCTAAGAAATGAAAGCTCAAATAAGTGGCTTATCATGACGTGTAAACGTATAGCGGCCAATACTCTAAAACACACGGTGATTCTAAAACGTGGAGGGAAAAACCGGGGGAGAAAAATCCACGCGACCACGGGGAAAACATGTAAACTCCAAATACACAGCAGGCGTCAGGGTCGGGATCGAACTCACGACCTCCTGCATACTAGGCGAGGTAGTTAACATCTCTGAGCCACCGTGATGATGATGAGAGGGAGAAATACAAACTCCAAATATACAGCAGGCGTCAGGGTCGGGATCGAACTCACGATCTCCTGTATACCAGGCGAGGTAGTTAACATCTCCTAGCCACCGTGATGATGATGAGAGGGAGAAATACAAACTCCAAATATACAGCAGCAGGGGTCAGGGTCGGGATCGAACTCACGATCTCCTGTATACCAGGCGAGGTAGTTAACATCTCCTAGCCACCGTGATGATGATGAGAGAGAGAGAGAAATACAAACTCCAAATATACAGCAGCAGGGGTCAGGGTCGGGATCGAACTCACGACCTCCTGTATACCAGGCGAGGGAGTTAACATCTCGTAGCCACCGCGGCGCACTGAGCGAGGCGCGCGCGTTCCTCTGAGACACACGGGGCTATCGATTTCTTGCGTTGCTCAGTTTTTTTTTTATCTTTTGAGAGCGATCATGCTGACTTTACATTTCCATTACCGCAGGGTGACATCCACCATCCGACTCGATTGGATTCCAACAGTTTTCTTAATCAGCGCCAGAATTTACTGGAGGGGGAGTGGGGGGGGGGGTGAGCGGAGGGGCGGGGCGGGGTCGGTTGGGGGACAAACGGGGGAATGATTCAGGGCAGAAGACGAGGCCGCAGTGGTCATGAGCACTCGCTACTCAACATACACCAAGGCCGTAATTATAATATATATTGGGGGGGGGGACACATCCCCCCATCAATATTCAAATATGCTCAAAATGTCCCCTGCAATATATTGCTATAAAATAATAATTGCTATGCTATGCAAATAAAAACAACAATTTGCTAAACATTGGCCACAATATCTGAACTTGTCTTCATATAAAGCAATGCATAGATTTCTGTTCATATGATTGTGGTTATGGTTGTACTTTATAAACCCTAATCTCTGCCATTACATACAACGAAACAAGAAATGGTAAAAAAGTAAAAACAGAGCAATACACTATTAGATATTATTGTAAAAAATAAATAAAAGACCATCCCATGTGTTAGTGAATTTTTTAAAATATTTTAGGCAGAAAGTGAGTTTTAAAATGTAGATATTTTTCTGGGTTGGGACCACCAAACACCCCGGAAGATTTGGTCCCCCCCAATGATGACTCCATGGCTCCGGCCTTGACATACACACGGCAAAGAAGGGACCTGGGTTCGATTCCCGACTCGGGCGACTCTCTTTGCGAGGTTTGTTAATGGTCGCGCCCAGTAGTAACACTTGGCACGCACATTTCAGTTTCAGTTTAATTTATTAGGTAAAGCCCTGTGAGCCATGCGGCTCTTGAATCGGGTGCAACCGCAACAAACAAAAACATGAACAAGGAACATCTTAAGACTACGGGCAGCAGAAAAATCCATGAAAAACCAGCAAAGTCTTCCAGAAAAAGCACCGCATATCAACGCTGTGTGCAAAAATCCCAGTGGGATGCAAGTCAAACAATAACACCCATAAGACAATTTAGATTAAAGTTGTCAGTCTAACTCTGTAACTACAACAAACAAACATGGCTAAACCAAAACGTTTCCGAAATCACCAAAATAAAGCGATAAAAACAATTTAACAGTGATCATAGGAACTGTGATTGAACTCAACAGATGCTCAACACACCGCACATAGACACAGCCATACACCACGCGGATTCCAATCCCGACTCGGCGGAATTTCTCCCTGGATTGGTTTTGTTCTCCACACTGCCCCAGCCCGTTCCGCATGGGTTTCCTCCCGGGTTCTCTGGTTAAATCCCATAGCTAAAACAAACAAAAAACCCACACAATGTAGCTGGCGTGCTACAAACTCGGCAACCGGGGAACGATTCCCGCTAAAGACCAGCGGTGAGTATCTGAACCGGTCCCAGGGCCTCCCGAATGAGTACCTGGTGCGACGTGTAAGTATCGCCACTCGGGAGACAAAAATCACCCACCACCTCGTGTGCCGTGCCGGCCTTCGTAGGTCCTCGCTAACAGTCTGTTCAGGCTACACGGGGGGATCTTTGTCTTTGCTATCATCATTCATATGGCTGCCACGAGGAAGGACCATTGCCCGAAACGTCAACTATTCAAGATATGTATGTATATATACATCTATTGTGCACAGGTGGCGCATTTTCCGGTCATCTCAGTCGTAGCACCAACAAGAGCCTTCGACACATCACGTGGCCTCAAGGTGCACCTAGCCTGGCACAAGCGCCGTGATGAAGTCACCGCCACGTCGTGGCGAACAGGGGGTGTTGTTGTTGTCGTCTGTGTGTGGCAGTGTTACCGGTTCGACCGTTAGCGCATTGCGCTCTGAACCTGGTCACCTGAGTTTTACTTCCTAGCCGCGGCTAAATATCGGTCTCAAATATCTGAGCCGGTGCTGGGCCGCCCGGAGGTAAACTTAGCCTTAAACGGGCAGCTGGTGCGGTGGTGCGTAAACGTTGGCACGGGGGAGACAAAGGCGGCTTAGGGGTGTGGCGCTGGTCACATCAATGGCGCATGCAATTGAAACGCCACTAAACCACCGCGTGACCTGGAACGCATTGGACCCTGTCAGAGAGGCAAGCAGCCTCGAGCCTTTCGCAGTGCTTGAACGAGTGACCACACCGCATGCCGGGCTGTCACAGGTCAGCAAGCAAGCATGGAACTGCCGCCACTGAACACATTGTTCGCGAGATCACCGATTCTGGTCTGCAGGCCTTCAAATGCCGAGCAGCACGTGGGGGCGTCTCCTAACGTCACCGCACGTTTCGTAGGGACTGAGTCTTTGAGTCGCAGTGAACTCAATGATTACGCCGATTAGATGTACTCATGTCTGGTACGGCTGTTGTTCACAATTGCACCGAATAAAAAGATAAAAAGTTGAATATATGGCGACATTCACACCAGGACTCACAGGGCTTTACAACACGATCCCAGGATAGGCCCTTAACATTGAAACGGAGAGGAAAAAACACCACCACCTTACATGGGCAAATTCGCAAGAGAAGATACTTGTGATTTTCAGACGAGCCCTCAAAACCTCGACTGACGGAGCGTCTCTAACGGACTGGGGCAAGACCGGGGGAGGAGGGCGTACCGCGTGGCGGTCGGCAGAAGGCCCATGCATCCGAGATTCATTGTTGCACTGTACTGCTCTCTCACGTATACGACCCCCCCCCCCTCGCCTTCGTCTAACAGCACCGCTGGCAAGCGAAGTGAAATGTTTCGTCACGCAACTCCCACGATGGTCCGTGTGGTGGAGCTCCTCGGGGCTCATTTCGGGCACGCCACCCGTTCTACTGCACACCCAAAACCGAACATCGTTCTCAGCCAGCACCTAGTCTGTCCTCAGAACCGCGCTGCAGCCTCCTGCAATGAAGTTGAACGCAACACCACCGGCGGCAGATCTCGGTCCACGATCAATTCCTGCAACCGGGACAAGTGCCAATGCTGGTCGGTGGACCAGTGGCTGAATGATTGAGTGGGTCGATGGGTGAGCGTGAGCGAGTGGGTTTGACGGATGGATAAGTTACTGGGTGGCTTGGCAATTGAATGAGTGAGCGAAGGAACGAGGCCCTCACACAGCCGTGGATTTACAAAGAGGGCTGTACATGCGCAGAGGCCGGTAAGATGCCAAGGGAGGCGGAGGTTCCTAAGTCAGGGCCAGGGGGGGACGGGTGAAGGGCGTTCCGGTTCTCACCTATCTCCGAAGCCTCTTCCACGTCTGGCTGGTGCTGGCGGCTGTTGGGAGGTCACGATCACAGTGGTGGTGGTTGGTGGCGGTGGCGGTGGTGGCAGCAGCAGCAGCAGCGGTCGAAGCGAGCGGTGGTGTCGGAGGTTTTGGCTGCCGCGGTTTGCGACCCCTTCTCGGTATCCCCTCGGTGCGAGAAGCTCCCCCACTGCCCGCCCTCGGCTCGGGGAACGAGGTCGTAGCACCTGGGCGTGGCGCCCTCTCGACCCCCCCGCCCCCCCCCCTCTTGTAACCGCGGACGTCTCGGCCACGCGCAACGGCGAGAGCGTGGCACACGGTGGGGGGGGGGGGGGGGGGTATAGGCAAGGGGGGAGACGTGGAGAGGGCCCTCTCGGGAGCTCCACGGCGAGCCATCTCACTGCTCCCATTCATCTCTCCGAGGCACGTTCCTGCGAACTGCGGTCACGCGGTGGACCTTTTGTTGTTTCTCCACAACGGCGAACTCCCTAGGTGATATTTTTCCTTCTTTCTTTCTTTCTTACATCGTTCCTAAGACAGTGGAGAAAGAAGATGTCCAGAAAGAGAGACAGAGAGAGAGAGCATTTGGGATGGATTCGATTTCGAAATACATCGCAATGACGCGCGTCACCGTGACGGTAAGTGACAGCAGTGAGCCCCGTTATCCGCAGAGACACGTGTCGATTCTTCTCCGGGTCCTCCGGTTTTTCCCCTCCACATTCACAGTCAACATCACGCGTTTAGAGTATTTGGATGCGAAGTATTTCCACGTGAAGAGGCACTTCGTTGAGCCATCAATTTGTGATGGCCAGGTCGCTTCTGAAAAAAAAAGCTACGTGGCTCAGTTGGCCTTACCTGGTAAAATAAGAAACATCATATATAAAGTAACACGATACCATACTAATACACGTATCACAGTTGGACACACATATATATTGGACACGTTAGACACACGTTGGACACACACGTTGGACACATGTTGGACACACGTTGGACACACATGTTAGAAACACATTGGACACACACATTGGACACACGTTGGACACACGTTGGGCACACATGTTAGAAACACATTGGACACACACTTTGGACACACATGTTAGACACATGTTGGACACACACTTTGGACACATGTTGGACACACGTTGGACACACATGTTAGAAACACATTGGACACACACATTGGACACACGTTGGACACACGTTGGACACACATGTTAGAAACACATTGGATACACACTTTGGACACACATGTTAGACACATGTTGGACACACACGTTGGACACACGTGTGCAAGCTGTGCACGCGGCGGTGACGCGGCACCCAAAGGTAGCGCGCACGTCGCTTGGCGCTTAGCGACCACCCTGGTCATCACTGAGATGGTGCGTGCCAAACCACAACCATGGGCTGGTCATCACTGAGATGGTGCGTGCCAAACCCAGACATTAGAAAAGATCCGTACCGTCGACTTCACAGTGGGCCATTAAGGTCCCGTGATTGCGTGGGAAACGAGCGGTAGGCTGGGCCGTGCCGGCGTCACGGCCCAACTTAAACCATCTCACCGACATCTAAATTGCATCTTTATATCTATAGAGCACCGTCGCTCACGGCGCGTGATGACGACTGCTGCTCGTGATGATGTGCTTGCTGCGTGGTTAAACACCGCGGTTAAGCAAATCACAGCAACGGCAGGCACGCACACATGAGTATCGCAACCATATGAACCCACCCGTATGAACCCACCCGTATAAACCCAGCCGTTTCAACCCACCCATATAAACCCACCCGCATAAACCCACCCGTATAAACCCAGCCGTATAAACCCACCTGTATAAACCCATCCACGTGAACCCACCCGTATAAACCCAGACGTATAAACCCGCCCGTATGAACCCACCCGTATAAACCCACCCGTATAAACCCACCCGTATAAACCCACCCGTATAATCCCACCCGTATAAACCCACCCGTATGAACCCACCCGTATGAACCCACCCGTATAAACCCACGCGTATAAACCCACCCATATAAACCCACCCGTATCAACCCACCCGTATAAACCACCCGTATAAACCCACCCGTATAAACCCAGCCGTATAAACCCAGCTGTATAAACCCAGCTGTATAAACCCACCTGTATAAACCCACTCATATAAACCCAGCCGTATAAACCCAGCCATATAAAACCACCCGTATAACCCCGCCCCCCCCCCCCCCATATAAACCCACCCACGAAAACCCACGAGAAGACGTGGGACGGTCACAGCGAGGAGACGGAGTGATGAGATCATCTTCAGGTTGCTGGGGCAGATGGTTGCATCGCAAGGTCTATGATTGGTGGCAGCGGCGGTGGCCGCTTTCGGGGAGGCCTTCATCATTCATCATCCAGCAGTGGATTGACCATGGCTGACCTCAAACGCTAGAGATTGATGTTTCGGAAATTCCCCCCCCCCCCCCTCATCAAGGTGACTAAGCAGTGTCAAAGGCGGAAACAGAAACTTCCCAAGGGGGCAAGGGGTAGGGTGAGGGGTTGGGTGAGGGGGGGGCAGGGGGTAGAACGGGGGCTGGATGAATGGCTGGGGGGGGGGGTCCGAAATATAAATCTTTCAAAACAGGGCCCTACATTTATAAACAATAAAAACAACATTTCAAAGTTATTTTCTCCACTGAATATCAACAAAACCACAATTTCCGGGGGCCTCAAAGTCGGGGGGAGGGGGGGGGGCGGCGCGGGGGGGGGCGGCGAATAATCGCACCCACTGCGGGGTTTTGCGCCACCACCCCGGGGACTGAGATGATGCCGAGTGGATGACCTCACCGACAAGGGACACGAGGAGGAGTTGGAGGAGGTGGAGGAGGAGACAGCCTTTTGCGAGTCACATGAGCAGCACGTGACTCGTACGCGGACGATGGGGGGGGGGTAGAGGGGGTGGGAAGTAGGAGGGGTGGGGGTTCACCGACAAAGAGAGGCTCTTTGTTAAGGGGCAGGGCCGCTCGGAGCGGAGACCCCCAGACAGCGAGAAGAGCTTTGCATTAATTAAGACGGCGAGAGGGTTGAGGGGAAGAAAGGCGCCGTTGAGGGCTTCGCTTACTCTGCTGGAATCCAAGGCGCTTGGGAGCGCCGAGTGGGGCACCCCGAGTGGGGGGTAGCGGGGGGGGGGGGGTAGCGACGCCGTTTCTGCGAGCAGGAGCAGCAGCAGTAGGAGCAGGAGGAGGAGCAGGAGGAGCAGGAGAATGAGCAGCAGTAGGAGCAGGAGGAGGAGCAGGAGAAGGAGCAGCAAGAGGAGGAGCAGCAGGAGGATCAGCAGCAGCAGGAGCAGCAGGAGAATGAGCAGCAGTAGGAGCAGGAGGAGGAGCAGGAGGAGGAGGAGCAGCAGGAGGATCAGCAGCAGCAGGAGCAGCAGGAGAGGGAGCAGCAGGAGAATGAGCAGCAGTAGGAGCAGGAGGAGCAGGAGGAGAGGGAGCAGCAGGAGGATCAGCAGCAGTAGGAGCAGGAGGAGGAGGAGGAGAGGGAGCAGCAGTAGGAGGAGGAGGAGGAGAGGGAGCAGCAGTAGGAGCAGGAGGAGCAGGAGGAGCAGGAGGAGAGGGAGCAGCAGTAGGAGCAGGAGGAGCAGGAGGAGCAGGAGGAGAGGGAGCCATTTTCACGCGGATGCGGAACGGATCGATGATCGGTGCGATGATGACGACGACGACGACGATGATTAATAAACAAAATATTTTGCCTACTCCAGGACAATCCTAGCTATTTGAGGAGGGTCCTGCCCTGGTTGTTGGCGGTAGGAGGGCGATGTTGCTGCTGCTGCTGTCTCCGCCAGTAATCCCAACCGAGTCATGGGATGTTAGTTTGTTTGGTGTTGTCGTTGTTGTTGTTATCAACACCGTGAGTTTTCTTAACGATGGAGCCCCGAGGAAGGCCACGCAGAACAAGGCGAGATCATACGAACTGCACTCACGAACAAAGGCAAAGATCTCCCGTAAAGCCTCAGCGGACTTCTGGGGCATGGGCTGTTACGCGAGCAGCATCTATGAAGTCTGGCACGGCACACGAGGGGGTGGGTTGGCCAGCACCTCGCCCGGCCGCATTTATCTCTCGAGTTTACACATCGCACCAGGTAAAACATTTCAGGCTGAGTCGACCTAGGGGAGGTACAGGGCTGGTTCAGAACATTGTCACCGTCGTTAGTAACCGTGAGCTGGAATCGAACCCGGGTCGCAAGGTACAAAGCGCAGCCCCCTAACCGCTGCGCCACGGCTCCCCCTACACTCACGCCCTCACTCTCTACAGAACAGGGAGAACATTCAGATTCTACACAGACAGACGCCAGAGTTGAAAATCGAACTCAGGCGCTTCTTGCTTTGAGGCGCTAGTGTCACTACTGCGCCACAACCACCACCACCACCAAAATCATCAACAACAACCACCGCCCTTCACTACTAAGTGGCGGCGACGTCACCACGGTGCTTGTGCCAGGCCAGGTGCACTTCGAGGTCACGTGAAGTGCCAAAAGGCTCGCCGGCAGGAGGTCACGGGGCAGACCCTGCAGGTGTCACGAGTCGACTGACTGAGCTACGCTGGCGACTGCACCGCCACCCGCCCGTGCTCGCCACTGTGCCAAGCTCCCTGCGCGTTATAGACGCCCGGAGCTCCGCTCGTCGTTGTGAGCGTCGCTCCACTACCGTTCCCCGTCGCCTGCATCGAACGCGAGACATTTCCGTCCGTTGCGGTGAAGAGGCAGCGGCGGAATATCTGCGAGGATGTCCACGGAACATCGCGAGACGAGCGCTACGAATGAGCGAGCGATCGAAAGTTTTTAAATAAAAGAAACATTCTCATGACAGAGAGGGAGAGAGGATGACATTCACGTGGCCTCGAACTGGAAGGTAACGATATTATTGGAACAGTAAATGCATTAAAATAATAATAATGATCCTCAGCCTCTTTGTCAATACATTGTTGGAATAAGGCCCCACCCCTACGCATGCCTATTTGACCATACTTCACCACGGTGGTTAGTGTGGTGTGGGTTGGTGCATGAACTGGGGGGGGAGGGGACTCTAGAGTTGGCACATTTTCCACATCACAAAACGCGGACATTTATCAGTCTAGGGGTGCCACGGTGGCTATGAGATGTTAACAACCTCGCCTGGTGTGCAGGTGGTCATGGGTTCGATCCCGACCCTAACGCCTGCTGCTGTATATTTGGAGTTGCGTCTCTCTTATCATCATCACGGTGGCTAGGAGATGTTAACT